AAGAGAGAGAGAGAGAGAGAGAGAGAGAGAGAGAGAGAGAGAGAGAGAGAGAGGTGGTCACTTCTTTCAGTGCTCTCTAGCTTTATAAATGGGCTTTGAGCTGAGAGATTGGAAGGAAGGAGAGGAGCATTGAGATTTCTGCAAAAAGATGGTCTCAGGCTTTTTCTCTCTTGGCTTTTGTTCCCTCTTTGTTGGTGTCTAAAAGATTAGTTGTGTTGATGTCGATTGTCTAATAGGGGTTTATGTGTGAATTAAAAGGTTAGGGCCTTCAATCTACTCCAAACAGCTGGATCTCGAGCCGAGAATCCTGTCTTACACATGAAGAACGCGAAAGATGTCGGAGTTGGAATCTCCGATGGTTCTTCCGGCAATCAAGTCAGTAGCGAGTTTGAGTGGAGAAGAAATGGAGTTAAGTAGGACAAATTTTCAAAATCGACCTGTTTTGAAACTTATTCTAAAAAAAAACCGTTTTAGATTTAATTTCAAAAACCGACCTAGTTTCAGCCTCAGGGTTGAAACTGGGTCGGTTTTTGAAAAAAAAAGTTCCCAAACTTCTCGGGAGTTAAAGTCCCGTGAAGTTTTTTACATAACAAAACTTCACGGACCTTCAACTCCCGTGAAGTTTTGTAATGTAAAAAACTTCACGGGACTTTAACTCCCGTGAAGTTTGGAAACTTTTTTTTCAAGAAACCGATCCAGTTTTAGCCAAGAGGCTAAAACTGAGTCCGTTTTTTAAATTAAATCTGAAACATGTCTTTTTGGGGGAATCTTTTGGCAAACAAGTCGGTTTTGAAAATTTATCCGAGTTAAGTATTTAGTTTTTTAGCATGAGATTCCTTACTCTAGACAACAGACAGTAGTGTCCTTTTATAGTAGATTTGAGGTGTAGATAGATAACTTCAGCCGAGTCAAGCTGGTTGCTCAATCGTCTTCTGTTTTACAGGTGTCGGCTACAAAGAGAGAAGTGTCACTCAGGCGTTTAATGTGAGAGTGACAAAATATGCATGGCTCTGATGAGAACATGTTTGCGGGGAAATTGCAAGAAAACTGAGAAATAGATTAGTATTACTCTCTCTAACTGATTTAGAAAAAAAAATGAATACAATTCCTCAAAGTAATTTCTCTCTAACTGACTTAGAAAAAAGAAATTATAATTTTCTTATCGGTTTCCCGATTTACAAAAGAGAGAAGAATCGACGAGGATACTTCCTTTTTTTAATACTGAGTTCTTCTTGGTGGCGATTGGAGTTTGATTCTTGTATCCCGTTGACGATACGAACACTTCACTTCGTGGAACTTTGTCTTCTCTTCTTGACTTAACGTCTTAGAAGAACTTGTAAAGCAAGTTTAAAACTCTGAATGAGTTTAGAATTCTGCAAGAGAGTTAATTTCAGAAAGGAATTACAATCCTTTTATCTAAAAATAAGCCAATGGCTTTCCTCTCTAAGGCAATAGCCGATCTCCAAGATAATTTACCAAAGATTATCTAAAAGCCAAGACAAATGATCTAAAAAGCTCCAACCAAAAGCTGACTCTTTTTCAGCTGTAAAACCAGCTATTTATAGGGTTTAAATGGTGTAACTGACCCCTCATAATGGGAGCTTAATCGCCCCATTAAGTGGGTAACCGTTCAAGTAATTTGGAACGGTCAAATGCGACGTCCGCGTTCTAGTTTCAATACTCGGGGGTGGACCCTGGCGTTTGGCTTTTGAAACGCGAGAGTGAGCCCTGCATTTGGAGTTTGGAACGCGAGGGTGAGCCCCGCATTTAGAGTTTGGAATGAGAGGGTGGACCCTCGTATTTAGAATTGAGAACGCGAGGGTGGACCCTCGCGTTTGGCCTTGAAGAGATCGTCAATTGTAATCTCTTGTTTTCAAATTTTGTAAGGATCGTTAGCTTGTAATCCTTATATTTGGCTTTTTGAAATGTGAGAGTCGTTAATTTATAACTCTCATTTATTTTCATGAAAGTCGTCAGATTGTAACTTTCATCATTAGTGTTTTGCGGGAACCAGCTATCTGCACTAATTTTGATGAGTTATAAAGACTTTCAGTGTTGAAAAAATGATGACTCTGATAATTTATTTAATGTGATGACAATCGACTGTCGGTAGCGGTCTGAGGACACACTGCCTTTCGACTCGTCTCGCTGGAGGTTGACAAGTACCGCCTTTTTAGTTGGCCTTGAAGATTATCGACTTGAAAGGGTTGAGTGCTGAGGGGGCAGTAGGGTCGACTCGAATGGTAGGCTAAGTGAGGATGCCTCTCGTCTTGATCTCTGTGAGTGGGCCGATAAATACCACCTTTTTAGTTGGTTTTGAAAGTTGTCGACCTGGTCTTGAAAAGTAAAAGGAGTAAGATCAGCTCATATAGAGAGTTTTGAGTGAGAATGCCTCTTAACTTGGCCCTTCTTAGGAAAAGTTGTGTCTATGCTACTTGAGTTGTCCTGGCTAGGGCGAAGCCGAAATGAGGATTAGTTAACATAGGACATGTGTTGACTCTAGAAAGAGGATTAACACTTAGGTTATTTACAGGGTATAACATTCTCCCCTTTCATTCAAACTCGGCAAGCTGAGTTTGAATGAAATTGAACAGTCAATGATTGGGATATTCGAGGCTCATTTATGAGGAAAGCGATGGGCAGCTATTCATGTAATATTCTGATGTTACTAGATATCGTGTGCCGGCGTTACCTCATTCCCTGAGAGAAGATGGCATGTCAACCATAGGACAACGCTTCGGTTCCTTAATAGTCATTTCGTCTTTCGAGGTCGATCTCAGTTGTCCGTCAATGATCGAGTCGATCGCCCTGATCTCGACATGTGGCTCTCCTTGAGCCTATATATACTTGTTCTGCTGAAGGTCTCTGTTTATAAATTTTCTGAACCCTAGAATTCTTCTATTTTTGAGCGATTTCAGATCAATCACCGATGAACTTCTCTTACAATGGTTGCATCTATCACTGCAACCGATCAAACTTCTAAGGAAGTTCCACTCGAAGCTGTGTGCAATGGAGCTCAAGGCCTACTACGACCATTACGACCTTCCATGTGAGTTCACACTGTCGGCACCGAAGAAGGCTCAGTAGTGTATGACCACGGCAACGTTGTCACTCCGATCTACCTCAAGCACCTGGAATATAGGCTCCGTCTGCTGCTCCACCACTTTCTCTGTTGCACCTTCGAGGCTTTTTGGGTCTCGCCTTCGCAAATCAAGCCCAACTCCATAGCCACATTGGTGGGCCTAGTGGCGATTTGTCATCGGGTTCGAGTTGACTCGACCCTCCGCATGCTCAGCCACCTTCTCAATGTCAAGTTGGGGAAGAAGGAGGGTCACTACTTCTTCTAAACACTGAGCAGCTTCAAAGTCATCTCGAATGCTCCTGAGTTGAATAAAGACTGGAAGGAGAAGTTTATGTGAGTCTTTGGAGCCGACCCCATCCACTCTTGCTCAGCTTGGCCCGAGATCACTGAAACTGAGCTTCCTCACGACGAAGAGAGACAGGGGCTCGAGAAGATTTGTGCCTATTATGGGTCTCGAAGGATCGAGAATCTGTTCGACTCAACAGCTCTGCGGGCAGCCGACATCTCCAGAGTACCACCAACCAAAGAGGACAAGATCCTAGTAGCAGTCTTATCCTTGCCAACAAAGGAGTCGGACGAGGCTCAGCCAGGGTCTTTAGTCAAGCCCCCAGAAATGACTAAGGTCCGAGTTGGCTCTTTTTTTTGTGTTATGTTTGTGTAGTGTTTGTATAAAATATATTGTGTATATGTGCCTGTTGTGTTTGTGCCGAATTGCTTGCCACTACTCAAGTCGAGAAATCTGAGAGGAACGAGGAAGGCTGCGGCAAAAAGTTAGCACAAGGCCCTCAAGAAAAACACCAAGCCGACCGGGCCAAGGAAGGGAGAACAGCAGAGGTGGTCACCTGCCCCTACTTAAGAAGTTGAAGGCCGAAATCTCTTCCCTCCTTCTCTAGACATCCCTCTAACCGAGCTGGCTCAGGTCATCATGGTCATCGACGAGGAGTCCTCTGCTCGTATTGAGAGGGGTGAGATGGGGGTGCACAATCCTATTGAGGCTAGGTGTAGGTCGAGGAGGAGACGACCCAACCTCCTCCAGCCAGCCGAGTCGGCCCATCGCAAAGGTAAGGAGCTAGCTAAAAAGTCAGTAGCGGCTGAGGCACCCCCTATTCCTGAGGGTCCTGAGGGTTGCATTGGGTGGCCCTTCCCTCACCGTTTCAATAAGCTCGAGCCAAACGTGTGGGGGGAGCTGAGGATGATGATGATGGGGTCATCCAACGAAGGCTCTCGATACGATCGGGAGCCGCCTAAGGAGTCCAAATTCACTCCTAGATAGCATCTTGATAGGAGAGGCTCGATCTTGGAGTCTCGGATCACTTAGTCTTGGGCTCTCGAGCAATTTTATCTCCCTCGAGACAATGAAATCCTCTCGGGTATGCCTGACGTCGGCCTTCACCAGGCTCTCAAAA